CGTGTTTTTATCCCCATCTTTCAACTCGTTTGCTCGGGCCCTCGCATGCCAATATGATTCCTCAAACCTGTGAAGTTCATCCAACTCTGCTACTATCGCCTTACATTTGTTTAGCATAGTAGCATCAGCCACCCTCTTCTGCCATTCACTCAATTCCTCTTCTTTTTCATTTATCTTCCTCTTCGTGTCACCAAAGGACCTAGCAGCCCACGTTGATAATGATGATATACACCTCGCAATTCTAGCGCTAACACCAAGTCCAGCACTTCCCTCCCAGGCTTCTTTAACCACTTTTTGGCAATCGGCCTTAGCAAGCCACATAGCTTCGAAGTGGAATTTTTTCCTCCCCTTCCTCCGCCTATTATTCCCCTCAGTTTGGAGCATAATAGGTGCATGATCAGACAAGTATAAAGGGAAGTGTCGAACAGAATGAATTTGGTGACTTCTAATTATTTAACAAACCCACCATTTAAAAAAAAAAAAAAAAAAAACCAACTTTATTTTAAACTCAAATATGTGGCTAGTCATAATAAGAGGTTACTCTATTAGTGTTATACGAGTAAGAGTTACTCCGTCAGTGTTACAGAGATTAATTCATTAGTGTTATAGGAATTACTTTGTTCTTTTATACAATCGACCACATAATATTATAGCCAGTTAGGCAGTTATACTAAATGTATTGTACATTATCATTCTTCTTATATACGGTAGTAACATGCAAATCACTGCTCATTAGCATTTAGACGATATTATAATACGTAGGAATGGAGAAAAATTCACTGATAAAACACATAGTTGATTATCATGCATGGAAGACCAATCAGGTCAAGGGCGAAGAACAAGAAAGGTAAAGGTACTTATTCTAATTTTTATTTTTGCGGGATTAAGACACAAGAGCGAGGACAAGTTTGGAACAACTTATGGATAGTTCCGGCGATGGATCTTCCCAACCCCCTTATTTACCTTGTCAAGCAGTTCACAACGTCTATAACCTCAGTCTCCTTTTTAGTTCTTGTATCAATTTGATGAAGAGAGTTAAATATTTTCTCTGTAGCCTTGAGTCAGTTAGGAGTTAACCTCCTTTTTTTTTTCTTTTTCTTTTTGGTGTTTCACCCGATTCACCCTTAGGTAGGAATGGCAACGGATCGAATTCGGGTCGGATGTGGCTAAATCCGAATCCGATCCTTTTAGTAAACGAACCCTAGACTCGGATCCGAATTCGAGTCCGAATCCGAAAAATCCGAGTTCGAATCCGATCCAACTCATAAGTTTCGGATCCGAGTCCGGTCCATTTACACGGATCTCCGAAATGATCCGATTTTTTTTTTTAATTTAGTTTTGTAATGTCATATACGTATAATTGCTTGTATTGTCATGCCAATTAAAGTATTAACGTAACATATTTAAATTATAAACTAAGTTACATAACAAAATTTTGTTACAAAACAAGCAAATAATTGTCCCAAGTTATTGAGCATATGCTTATACTCTCGGATTCGGACTAGGATCGGACTCCGTCAGACTTTGCGTAGGGTCCAAGTCCGCTCCACCTCCTATTCGGATTCGGATCTATTTTATCGGATTCGAATTCGGACTAATTTTAAACGGATTCGAATCGGATCGGATTCGAATCGAACTTGGATTAAATTGTCATCCCTACCCTTAGGGCTAATCCGCTTCCGGGGATCAATTCTGGGTGGTTAGGTTCCAGTCCCCTCTCGATTGTTGTTGTGGGGGATCGAACACAAGTCCTCCCTACTAAGTGTAGTCTCAATCACCACTACACCAACTGATAAAAAAATGATGATAATGCATGGATTTTGACATGGGATTTTCTTTACGACAATGGAATACTCAATCCAACTCATACCCTCAATAATAAAAAGAATCCCAATCTCTTTTTTCATCACACCCTTTTCCAATGCAATCACTATCAAGTAGGCATCGATTTTAATTTAGATCTTACTCACCATCTTCTTGTGCTATAGTCAGTGATAGGAATATACTGTCTCTGCAATTATATGAAAATATGGTACAATGAAGATGAAGTTAACAAAAGAGACATACAATTGCAAGGTGGAACCATAAAAAGGAGAACTTTGCAATAATCACAAACAAGTACAAGAGATGGTCAATGAAGCTTATTGGAATCATGAAATTTCATAATATTATACGTACATTTTTTGGATTTTGTGTGATGTCTAATGTCTTCTGCTATCATTATTCTGAATTCTTCTGTATGTTTTGTTGGAAAATGAATTTCATGTGTATATGTGATTTTGGTGTATGTTAGGACTTAGGAGTAGCTCAAAAAGGCCTCGAGATACTTGGATAATTGTATGCAACTTTAATGTTTAAATCAATGTTTATGAGAATAGAAACTAATAGGTGCATTGATTAATGATATAAACAAATTACAAAATCAATAAGATTTAGGAAAAATACACTTTAATAATCCCAACTATTGCCAATTCACTTTTAATAATCCCAACTAAGATTTATTTTTTAATAATCCTAACTGTGCCCTGAGTTTTCCTCCAACAGTCTCAGCCGGTCAACATAAAGTCAATAACCTATTATAATAAGTATCATGACAGTGTCAACACGTTATTGGTCCATTTTTTTTTTAAAAAAGTTATAGAAATAAAAAAAACACAAAAAACCCCAAAAAGTCCCACCACCTTCTCCACGCGAAACCCTAGCCAACTACCTAACCTCGTCGGCGGAAAATCGCCGGCCGTCCCCTTTACCCACAGGACATCGCCGTCCTAACCTCAACAACCTTAATTGACCCAATCTCGACCCCCGAAACCACCTACCCAGCCACCCCAATGGACTTTCGTTGGACTTGTTGGTTGTTTTGGGAATCGGGGTGGCTCGGAAGGTGGTTTCGGGGGTCGAGGATAGGTCACATGGGGTTGTAAATGTGAAATCGGCTGGTTTAATTAGGTGGTTAGTGGGGACGTGCGAGCAATTTCCGGCGAGTTTAGGTTGGTTTCGCGATGTGGGGTTAGGGTTTTGCGGTGGCGGGGGAAGGTGGCGGGATGGGTTTTGTTAATTTTTTTTAATATTAGGCAATTATGTGCTGACATGTGGCGTTTTTAAAAAATAATTTTTTTTTTTACCCTTTTATCAGGTAATTGGTTTTTGGGACTGATGAAGGTAATTCGAGGCGTAGTTAGGATTATTAAAAAATAAACCTTAGTTGTGATTATTAGAAGTAAATTGGCAATAGTTGAGATTATTAAATTGTATTTTTCCTAAGATTTATTCAATAGAAGATTTATTTAATCGAAAGTACTTTATTAACTGATCTCAAGCTAAATATTGTTCTTTTTTTTTTTTTTTTTTTTTTTAAATGTTCAAAGCATAAATGCCAGAGTATGCCAATTCGGATATCCAATGACTCAATGAGCCAAGTATTGGCAAAATTGGTTCAACACAGTCCATTAAAAATAATTTAGAAAAAAAATCATACATGTATTAACTTGCAATTGATTATTGTAAAAGATATTACTCAACATTTAAGGAGGAATCAGTCACTGCAGCACTTGAGCTAATTTAGCTACATGAGTTTCGAAGGAACGATTTCCTAATTAACAAGAATGATGGCCAACTGACAAAGAAGTTACAATCTGTCAAACCTAAACATGAATTCATGAGATAGATCTAGCAAATTGTATATGAGATAGATCCAGCAAATTGTTATAGAAGTAAACATATTATGTGAAACAGCGCGACATGATTCCTGCAAGGTCCTACAGTAGGGCTCATCATGAAGATCAGGCTTCTTTAATGGTATTGACAGCATAATTAGGGGCCTTAGTATATTCACATTTAAAAGCGTCTTACAAAGTACATTCAAGAAATACAGCTTTCAAGTAATTAGTGATGTACTGATGTTTGATTGATCGATCACCATTATAAAAATTTTAACCATCAAAATTAAGCATGATCATCAAAATAGGGAGGAAACTGCAAAAGGAAACAACAGAATTGATCGAATTGCAAGGCTGCAGACAAGAGATGACGAAAAACAATGATTGATTTTCATGTCTGATCTTGTTTCCTCTTCAAAGAACAGAGGTGTTTGTTTATCTATACTGGCCTCTTTCAAAATTTACACATTTACAATGACAAAACTCGGTTATCAGACACAAATCACAATTGTAATTATAGCTAACAACCAATATTAAGATTTTAAGATACTCGTAGATACTATGATCATTGGATTATTTACATTTGATAACTAACAGAAGACTAATGCAAATAAAATTTCAGGACTAAAATATCAGAACTCAGACCGATTTTTTTTTTTTTTTTTTTTGTGTTTCATCTGGTTCACCCTTTGGGCTAATTCGGATCCAGAGATCAGTTTTGGGTGATTAGATTCCGGTCCCCTCCCAATTGTTGTTGCGAGGGATCAAACACGGGTCCTCCTTACCAAGTGTAGTCCCAATCATCACTACACCAGCAACCAATTGGTAACTAAGACCGATTATGCAAGACAGTAGTTCAACAAAATCTTATATAGGATTGTTTTACTTAACTTGCTCAAAACAGTTTTGTTATCAACAAGAAAATTAGAATGCACATGTAACATAATAGTCAGATTGTTGCTTATAATTAGGAAGGTACGCGATAGTGAAATTGCACATACACGAAACCAAATTACACTTTGATCAACCAATGGCAAAAATAAGATTAATTGTCATCATAAATTACCCGGCTACCAGCAAGAAATCATAGTTTAGTAGTTGCAAATCTTGAATTTGAAATATTTAGTAATAATCAGGGAATCAAATTTTCTTAATGCTTACTCAAGACCAATAATAAGTGCATAATAGCATACATTGCATTATCCTAAATTATAACATTCTTGTTGCAACCATAACATCTTTTAACAATATCTATCACACTAAAAGAATTAAAGAAATATAATATTGAATTAAGATATCATTGTTCAAAATTATAAAGTATAGATTTGCACATTAGAATAACCAAGAAACGAACTTATTATTAAAAAAAAATATAATGTTCACAATTGAAACAATTAGTCGTTAATCTTGTATACAATGGAGGTAACATATAAAACCACTTAATTAGTCGCAAAATCACATAAAAATCACCCCTTAACTATTATATGATTTCCCTAACCAATCTAGTCACATACATTACCCATTGTAAACAAGTTTACTCATAACTAAATACCGCGAATTGAATTTGAAACTATAAGATTAAATATGGCTTGATACCCTAGATTTTCTGTAATTTATCTTTGAAGATAAGAGGATTATCCTTAACAATAGCAACAGCACCAGCAGCTTTGCGATCGAACGTGCACGTATGTTCTTCAGGGTACCTATGAGATCCACAGAAAGTACTCCCACACTTGCACTTGAACCCTAACATTCCAACCTTCTTGTTACACTTCTCACACCTGTTTTTAGTCGCCTTCTTCGAACACGACTCCTCCTCAACAACAGCCTCTTTAACAGCCTCTTCCTTTTCTTCATCGTCAGACAAAGACAACAAACTTAAGGGCTTCTCCAAAGAGGTTGTCACCAAGGGTTTGAGACATAATTCTTTGTAACACTTTGAGCATAGATTCTTTGTCGCCTTGGTCCCGAAGAAACCACACCCGTTAGCGCAGTATATTGGATCGTTTGATTGCAACAAACTCGTTTCATTGTTGTTGTTCATCATCTTCTCCATGTTGAAATCGCGGTTTTGTTCACTCTTCTACGTGAAATTCTTTGAGGGTTTTGGTCGAAGGATACGAAGAAGGTATATTGGTATTATATGGTTTTAAGATTATGGATTTTAGGGTGTTTAATTACCTCCAATTTATAATGAGAAAAAGTCGGTTTAGTAATGGTTTAATTGTTTGAGAATTGGGATTGATGACTTTCCTATTCTAAGCTTCTTTGGATTTCTTATTACTTCTTTTACAAGTTAAAAACAATTCAGATAAAATTGGATAAATTTTTTTAGACTGATAAGTTACAAAAATATTGTTATCTGAACATAACCTTCTTGTAAAAAAAAAATAATAAAAAAAATTTAAAAAAAAAAAAAAGGCCTTAGTTAGAGTCTTATGAGTTGGGCTGATTAAGGTATGGTTTGGACAAATGTTTTCCGTTAAAAATAAAGCCTTTGCAGAATTTGGGCTTAGTTTCTAGGCCTTATGAAGCCCAATATATATATATATATATATATATATATATATATTTTTTGAAATAATGAAGCCCAAAATGTTTGATTGTCCATGTATTCCTGACACTGAGTGGCTGAGTGTATACAAAGAATATTGACAATTAAAGGCAATTAATGATGAACTTAAACTATATTTTACAAATATTCTCTAATCTCTGATTTGAACAAAATTGTTTAACGCACTTAATTGTCTAAAGCATGCTACATACTCCCTTCGTTCCTAAATGTTTACCTCATACTCATATCGTGCTTTATAAAATTTTAGTTGAGTAGAATTGGAGAGAATGTTATAATCACCGAAATGAACAAACAAATACCCTTAGGTACACCGTGCACCGGGTGTATATAATAATTTCTAGTAGAATTGACGAGGGAGAAAAATAATACGACCTAAATTAATCGTAAGAGTAGAGTTGTGAACTTGTAGTCCCTATAAACATACTTGGTATATGATATGAGACCTTTTATGATAAAAGAGACAAATAAATGGTGTTAGAGTGAGTATTAACCTATTATAACAATAATATGTCGTGATATCCTGCATACACATTATTCTTTAACAAATACTTTATGTGGAGTAAAGTCATAAAAAGTTCAAAGATTAAGGGCTATATTGAGCCCATAAGTAAAAAAATCATGTTTGATTCTAGTACTCCATGACATGATCTATCAAATCTCAAGCTATACTTTGTACAATATTTAATTTGTACATTAGCATGAGCAAATTTGATAGGTAAAATTGGACGCAACATCCCCAGGTATGGTTTGGGTGCACTAAGCAACCTGAACTATGCGCAATAACCAAAACTCCACCAATTATGGTATTAGGTGCCACGCGTGCCTTAAATGAAAATTTCAGGTCACTTATTTCATCGGAGGAGGTTAATCTACGTGTGCTAAGTGGATAAAAGACTACATAAATATTCTAGAGACTGAAGATTCACCTCCTCTCGGTAAAATAAATTACCGGAAATTTTCATATATGACACACGTTGCACCTAACATCATAATTGGTGGTGCTTTGGCTACTACGCAAAGTTCAGGTCATTCATGCACCTAAGCCATACTTCAAGATGTTACGACCACTTTTGCCAATTTGATATATAAGATTCGAACTATTTGCAATAGTATAGATAGATTTGAAGAATAGTGATGGAGTTGTTCATCCCAAGTCTCATAAGGAATAAATAAAGAGGTGAAGAGCTCCTTATAAGTAAAAACACACTCCAATAGTATGAGGTCTTTTGAAAAGGTGTCCAACAACAAGTTCATGCGGGCTAGTTCCAAAGCGCACAATATCAAAATAATGTAAAGTGTGCGTGTAGCCCATCAAGATAGGTGACACAAGCCCAACAAATGGTAATTTAAAATTAATGATGACTTAAAGCTTAATCCATGTACCAACAGTTACAATTTTTCACATATCAAAACACTAAAGATGATGCAAACCACACGTCTTATATAGTTATCATTGTTTTGCATTTGAATTTTAATCAAATTCCCGACAACTACATCATTCATATCTCAATGCTTACTCAACGTCTCGACCTTTCATTATCAATAATTTCTTCTAGACTTTTCTTCAATAACCAACATAAAAACCTTAATTCAAGCGTTTTAGAGTTTTAGGTGACCCAATTTACCAAATCATAAACAAAACTACATTAATAAACAGTGAAAAATCAGGACAAAAAACAGTACTGCCAAGAGTACCAACATACGTAGTAATAAAAATAGTAAAACTCTATAATTCTCTTAATTCATAAACACTAATCACCAATCAATTAATCCAAACAAGTTCAAATTTAAATCATAAAACCTAAAAAATTACATTCTAAAGTTTCAGATCTTCCGCAACTTATCAGCAACAATCTTAGGATTTTGTTCAGCGATGACAACTTCACCGGCAACCTTAAAATCATAAGTACAACTATGTTCTTCAGGGAATCTATGGGACCCACAGAAAGTGGACCCACACTTACACTTAAACCCGACAACTCCGACCTTCTTGTTACAACTCATACACCTATTCGCCGCCTTTGTCGAACTCTCCGCCGACACAACCACCGCTTCATCGGACTTATATTTCGGTTCCTCACTTACTGATTCATGTATCAACAAAGATGTCGACGATAACGATTTCTCAACGAAAGCTCTAACGGTCATGGATTGGTCCTCCTTGAGACGGTGGTCACGGTAACACTTCGAACACATGTTCATTGTCGCTGCTGTTCCGAAGAATCCGCAACCTTTGGCGCAGTATGTCGGGATTTCTGATTGTCGGGTGTTCATCATGTTCTCCATCTTTCTTTCAATCGATCTGAATATCGTAATTTTTTTTTAATTGAATTTCGTAAGAAGGAAATTTTTTTCTTCGGTTTTTTTTTTTTGGAAAATAGATGTGATGGAAAAAGAAGGGGTGTTTGGGAGAGAATAAATAGCAAAGAAATTGGAAGATAGTAGAAGTAGGATTTGTGTATGAATTAACGGTTTTGCCCTCTTGGGAAGGTTCTGGAATACTGGTGTTAGAATATTTTTGGTAAGGGGTTTATAAAGGTGGGGTGGGTTTTGGAAATTTATAATTTTTTTAAGGATTATGATGACAGCTCAAGTTTACGAGTTTGTATGGTATGGGATTAACGTTATTCTTTCGTGGAAATTCTATATGGGAAAGGAATACAGTATACGATCTTCAACCCTTCAATTAATAAAATGAAAATGTTATACATAACCCTTAAATCTACGTATAAGGATTAAATTTACACTTGAATATCGTAAAAAGTTAATAAATCATCAAAATATAAACACTAATAACACTGATTTACGAGTGTTTTTGTCATAAATTCCTAATTTTATACAATTTCCTAGAGTATATTTAGAGCAAGTTTTGACTTAGATGTGACATCATTTTTTATGGTCTCTATTGATAATGATGTCATCAAATTCTTGTTAAGACTCACTAAGACTTAGTGAAATTTATCACTTTAGCCCTATGACATAAATACTTGACATATAATAATAATAATAATAATAATGGTGCGATTAGGTTGCGGGATCAGGTTGCGATTCCTCGTCAATAATCCGGCAGCAGGTTCCACGTTAGTTTTCCGGCAGGTTCATCGGCGGCTTCTGCAACGGTGGTCCGGCATACATAGGGGCAGCAACGGCTCTGTTTTCAGGCGGTTTCCTCGTTCAATTTGGTGCTGTTTTATAGCGTAATTCAGGCAATTTTCTGGAGGTTTTCAGGCGAATTTACTTGCGGTTTTTGGTGCAGCGTCGGGTTCCTTTTTTTTTTGGTTTATGGTGATCGTCATAAAGCGGCTTTCTACTCAGGTTTGTTTTCTGGTTTGATCAGGCAGTTTGTGGGAAGTTTTGGGGTGTTTTTGGGTGCAATTTCAGGCGATTTTTAGGCAAAAATTGGGTGTGTTTCCAGCGTATTTCCTGGTGTGTTTCAGGCGTGTTTACTTGCTGTTTTCTGGTCAGTTTTCTGGTCGGTTTTTGGGCAGTTTGGCAGCCGTTTTTTTTTCTCAGTTTCGGAAAGGTTTTTGGGTTGTTTTCAGGTGCAGCTTTTCTCGCGAATATTGGTGTTGTTTTTGGTCAGTTAGAGGAGGTTCTTTGTTGGTTTCTGTTTTGGAGCAGTTTTGGGGCTGTTTTGGAGCAGTTTTGGGGCTGTTTTGGAGCTGTTTTGGGGCTGTTTTGGAGTAGTTTTGGGGCTGTTTTGGAGCAGTTTTGGGGCAGTTTTGGGTGCTGTTTTGGAGCAATTTTTGGGGCTGCTTTGGAGCAGTTTTTGGGTGCTGTTTTGGAGCAGTTTTGGGTGCTGTTTTGGAGCAGTTTTGGGTGCTGTTTTGGAGCAGTTTTGGGTGCAGTTTCTGGTGTAGTTTTTGGTCCAGTTTTGGCAGCTCTTGGGTGCTGTTTTGGAGCTGTTTTGCGGCAGTTTCTGGTGCTCTTTCGGGCGTATTTCAGTTTTGGGTGGTGCAAGTCAGCTATTTCGGCTGCCGTTGTGAAGTTTCATTGTCCCTTTGTGGGTCTTAGTGGTTGTCAAGATGGGAGTGGAAATGGCCTTACTCGACGTTCTCTAATCAAACATCTTAGTGATCGTCATTGTTGTATCGGTGCGCGAGATATCACCCGACATTCTCTTACTTCTAATTTGGCTGTTTATAATGAGGCAGAAGTTACTTTTAGGCGTATGGGGATTTGGTTATGTGGAGTTTGCTATAAAACGCACACGGTACGCATTAAGTGTCGTCATCGTGGGGATGAGGATGTGTCACCCCCTGATGAAGGAGATGGTGTTGTTCGTTTTGTGCTTCATAATTTCACCAAGCCGCAATCTCCTTCTTCTCCTGCTCGAGTTGATCATATGGATGGATTGGTGCAAGATCATAACGGTGGTTTTGATGTGGCCCTCCTTGATTGTTTATTCTCTAAGGGGTTTCGCTCTGTTAAGTCTATCCCTCCCAAGTGTCGTTTGGGGTTTTCTTGGGTTCTGAAAGGTGCTCTTGATAAGGTGATCTCTAAGCCTGATGACATTTCTAATTGGGTCTCTTTGTTGGTGTTACCTCTTTGCATCCTTAAAATCTTTCGTCCGCGGAGTAGTCGTGAGTCTCGGTCTTCGGTAAGACGCCGGCATCAAGAAGAGAGTATTTCCCGTGCTATTTGTTCTTGGAGTGTAACGGGTGGTAATTTGCAGCTTGTGAGGGAAATTTTGGCAGAGGATTCTCCTACTTTGTCGATGGTTGATGATGAGGACATTGATTTGGAAGAGCGTAATATTAAGCAGTGTCGTAGGAAGATTTGCGATGGCCATTACACTGCTGCGGTTCGGGTTCTTTCTTCTTCAGGCGTTGCACCTTATAATGACGCCACTCTTGCAGATTTACAGTCAAAGCACCCTTCATCTCCAGCTCCATCCCTGCCTGATATACCTATTGATCACCTTCATCTCGTTACGACTTCTGCTGTTGTTTTGGATCGGATTAGGAGTTTCCCTCGTGGCACATCATGTGGTAGGGATGGTTTGCGTGCTCAACATCTTATGGACTGCTTTAGTGGTGCGGCTGTGGCAGTATCAGATGAGTTGGTTGACTCTATTACTGGGGTGGTTAATCTCTTTCTAACTGGGAGATGTCCTATGGAATTAGGAGAGTACATTGCTAGTGCTCCTCTTACGCCACTTGTCAAGCCCGGTGGTGGTATCCGTCCTATTGCTGTGAGTATGGTTTGGCGGCGTCTCGTTTCGAAGGTGGGTGCTATTATGGTTGGTCAGTCTTTAGGGAGTTACTTTGATGACCTTCAATTTGGTGTTGGGGTTTCTTCCGGTGGTGAGACAATTCTTCATGCGGTGAATCGGTTGATTGAGGACCGTGGTTCTGATGTTGGTTTATCTATGTTGTTGGTGGATTTTCAAAATGCCTTTAATCTGGTTGATCGTTCGGTCATGTTACGTGAGGTACGTCGTCGTTGTCAGGGCATTTCGCGATGGGTAGAATTCTGCTATTCTAATCCAGCCAGGTTGTACTATGGGGACCAAACCTTATGGTCATCTCAAGGGGTGCAGCAGGGTGATCTCCTTGGTCCTTTGCTTTTTTCTTTGGTTTTACAACCCCTGGTGTGTAAAATCAGAGAGACTTTTGATGTATGTCTTCAGTCTTGGTATTTAGATGACGGCACGATTATTGGTGACACTTTGGTGGTGGGGCAAGTTTTACAGTTGATTATGGAGGAAGGACCTCGTTCTGGATTATGTCTTAATGTGGAAAAAACAGAAGTTTTCTGGCCTACAGAAGACCCTCGAAGCAGGCTGTTGGGTGTCTTTCCACCTAATATTGCTCGACCTTTGCGTGGTGTTAGGTTGCTTGGAGGTCCCGCTAGTTCCGATTCTGGATTTAGTGGTGAGCTTGTGATGCAGAGGGTGACCAAGACCATTTCCCTTATGAATAAGGTCGCTATGCTCGATGATCCTCAGTGTGAGCTGTTGTTACTTAGGGCATGTACTGGAGTTTCAAAACTCTACTTTGCATTGCGTACTTGTCCTCCTAGTACTTTTGAGGTGGCTCAGCGCACTTTTGATGCAGCTCTTCGATCTTCCATGGAGCGTATTGTTATTGCTTCGGGGCCGGGGTTTGGTGATTGGCAGTGGCGACTTGCCACCTTACCATTTGCGTTTGGAGGGCTTGGTGTTTATTCTGCAGGTGATGTTCGTCACTATGCTTTTCTTGTTTCTCGGTTACAGTCTGCTTGGTTGCAGACACAACTTCTTCGGCATGCTGGCGTTGTTGGTCTTGGACGAGCCTTTAAGGATGCGTTGAGTCTGTTTAATGGAACAGTGGAGTCTGACATTTTGAGTAATCCTAGTGAGGTCGCTGCCCCTAAACTCATGAAGAAATTGGCAGATATATATTTCACAAAGGTTACCGCTTCTGCAAAATCTGCTTATTCTTTAACTCCTCGACAATCAGCATTATGGAAATCACAGCAAGGTGATCACACCTCTGCTTGGCTTCGGGCGGTTCCTATTTCAGGGTTGGGTCAGACGATGAACGCCAAGACTTATCGCTGTGTGTTGTCCTATCGGTTGGGTGTACCATTGTTCTCTATCTCGATGTTGTGCTCTGCTTGTTCGAGGGTTTTTGCTGGAGATATTTTCGGTGATCACGCAGTGTCTTGTGCTGGTATTGTGGGTATTAAACATCGGCATAATGTTGTTCGGGATACCCTTGTTGATGTTTGCTATCGTTCTAGGATTTCAGCGAGAAAAGAGGTTGACATTGGGTTAGCCGGAGGGAACGACGAGGCCCTCAGACCCGCGGATGTGTTACTTTATTCATGGGATCGTGGTCGCGATGTCTGTGTTGATTTGACAGGGTCTTCTCCTTTGACACAGTCAGGGCTATCTGACTTCATTCTTGGGCGGGTTGTGGCTGATGTAGCTCATCGGAAGCGGGTTAAGTATGAAGCTCGATGTCAGGCGATTGGATATGGTTTCATTCCCTTCTCCTTTTCTTCGCTTGGGGAATTAGAGAAAGAGGTTGTTGCGTTACTGAAGCGGATTCAAAGGTTCTCGACGACGCAAGACATTGGGGCTCGTGCTGCAGCTCATATCTTCACTAGGGTAGGATTTGCAATAGCTAGAGGAGTGGGGGCCCAGATTGTATCTCGGCTTCCCACTAATTTATTGTAGGTTGTATGACTTTTGCTTTTGAGATAATAATAATAATAATAATAATAATAATAATAATAATAATAATAATAATAATAATAATAATAATAATAATAATAAAAGTGAAATGGGTATCAATCTCAAGTTTTAAGTTGAGTCTTGAAATTTCAAAACTCAACTTGAGACTTGCTTGAGATTTTTGAAGAAAAATGGAAAAAGTCTGAAGTATAAATCTTAAGACTCAAAATGATGATGTCACCCCAAGTCTTGCTCTTAAAATATTTATATATAGCCCTTAGGACTACATATAACATTACCTTTAATAAAATTCATCGTATCCATCCATTTAATTGACTTTAAAATACACCTTATCAACTAACAAAAAAAACAACTACTACAACAACTTTTAATTAATACTAGAGCATTTGGTTGAAGGATATGGAATTCATAATTTATCTTACTTGATTTTTTTTTTTTATCTTTAATGTTAATTGATTGGTTTCTTGAAGAGAGACAAATTTCATAACTTTTCATCATCTTCTTCTTTTTTCCTCCCTTTTTCTGGTTTTCTTTGATGGAGGATGATTTATTTTTTGATAAATTTGATGAAAAAATTATAGACCTTGTTATATATAATGCGGTAGATGGCTTATTGTTAATAAACTATAATCAAATGCTGATTTTTAATGGGGATGGGACAGTCATTTGAACTTAGAAATTGCAAAGATCAAATATGCATCAATGGCAAAGTTCGGAATTTTTGTTTTAGTAACTGTTTTTTTTTTTTAAAAAAAACTTATCATAATCAAGAATTTTTTTTATTTTTTAAATTTCTTATTATAAATTAAGTCAAATGGACGAATGGACAAGATTGAACATTAAAAAATATAGGGCCGAGATTAAAAATAATTACAATAGCTACAATTTTATTGTAGCCATTGAATAGTCTTCCATGTTATTTAATTAATCAAAAAGGTGCAAAATAGATTTCTAGAATTTTCAATTTCTCACAGAATTCATTTATCCTCCTCCTCTTAGGTCATGTCATTAAAATTTCCCTAACGGCAACCAAACAAACTAAAGCAAGTTTCTGGTGCGGCCAACTACTTGGTGCGACGGGGTGCCAAGTTAGCAAATAATGATAAAGTAACCCCACCGACCTATTAACCTCTAATCAAGTAACCCTTCCGATTTGGTAACCCCTGACCTACCTAGTAACCCTTGACCGATTAAGTAACCCCTGACCAAATAACCCCTCCGACCTAGTAACCCACCTAGTAACCCCTAATCGATTTAGTAACCCTTGACTAAGTAACCCCTTTGACCAACTGACCAACACTACTACAAAAAAAGCCTTAGAGAACTGTTATAATAGGCTTTATAAATCGCCTTAGGGGCGTTCTTCTGCTAAGCGATGTATAAAGTATAGAGAACGGGTCGTTTAGGCGTTTTATATAATGTCACAACCGTTCTCTTTTCCCTTTTTAAATTTGTACACTAAGGAAGGAATAAAGAACGGTTTAGGCCACTTAACCGTTCTATATTGCTTACAATAGAGAACAGTTAAGTTAGATAACAGTTCTCTAATTTTTTTTAAAAAAAAAAAAATCGAATTACCCCTCTACGTATTTTATACAGTATTATTCCTGTATTTTAATAATTTGTATTATTTTTGTTTTTCATTTTAGACCTGTATTCCTGATTTTTATCTTGTAAGTTTATATATCCGGTAAGAAAATTTTCACATTTTCTATGTAAAATAAATCCATGATCTCGTATACGCGCAATATAAATTTTTGTATAATTAAATTAACAAAAATATTTCCAGATACTACGAAAGCCATCAAAATATACTTCATATATATAATTTAAAACATCCAACCACAATTAAATTGAATCATTCATACAAAATTTGTTCTACACAAACAAATACGTGAGTTAAATATCAAAAACCTTTCTAGTTAATGTTGATTTAAATTAAAAATTGATTCCCCAAAATATAACAATACCATATTGATATACAATTTACATAAATCATCGTCGTCATCATTTGGTTGATGGTATCCGGTAACATATGAAATCCACCTTTCCCTAAGCTCGTCAATCATTTGTTGAGAATATGTATGAGGAACTTGCTTAAAATACTACAAAACAATGTAAAATACATACATATTAGTTAATAATATACAATAAATTCATCTAATTAAATATAAATTAGTTAGGGTTATTAGGGTGTTCATAAATTGGTCATGATGGGAAAATAGACCGAATCGGACCGAATTAATAAAAACGTACCAACTTTCATATGTAGCTGATCAACACCATGTGGCCAACCCCCCCCCCCCCCCCTTTTTAAATTTTCTCTATCTCCTCTCCTCTCCTCTCAACTCACTTTCTCTCTCTAACCTTCTCTCTTACTATCAATGGTCGGAGACTCGGAGCATTGACTTCTGCCGTCTTCGTCATCGTCAAAGCGCAAAACCAACTCAAATCACCTCGAAGCTCCAAACCCTAACAGGCTAACATTTACCCCAAATTTCAATAGATTCAGGTACAAATTTATCAATTTCATTCCAATTTCCTATTGATTTGTGTTACCTCCACCATCGTCTTCATCTCCGCCATCGTCTTCGTCTCCGCCGTCACAGGCGTCACCGTCTTCGTCTTCGTTGAATTATACAGTTGTTTATGGGATTATTGTACTCCTTAATAGTTTTACATTCATCAAATCATCAATCCACATAATTGCATGTATTTTAAATGCAAATTCAGATTGAATCTTGCGATTACTGACTACTAGTAATGTGTATCTGATTATTTTTGCGTATTAAGGTGGTTTTAATTTCTTCGAAATAAACGGTAGATCTTGTGAGATTGTGAATCTCATGTAGTTTTGAATATCAATGCATTGAAATAGATATGTACACTGGTATTAGTTGTCTACAATTGAACGAGGGGATACTAGATTCGGTCAGGAGTTACTAGGTTCGGTTAGGGGTACTAGGTACGATGAGGGGTTACTTGGTCAGAGGTTACTAGATTTGGTTAAGGATTACTTGGTACGATGAGGGGTTACTTGGTCCGCTTAGGGAATACTAGGTCAGAGAGGTTACTTGGTCAAAGGTTACTAGATTTGGTGAAGGGTTACTAGGTCCGATGATGGGTTACTTAGTCCGGTCAGAGGTTACTAGGTCCAATCAGGGGTTACTAGGTACAGTCAAGGATTACTTGGTTCAGTCAAAGGTTACTTGGTCCGATCCGGTCAGGGGTTGCGCACCTCTGTATCGACTGAATCACTCTAAGGGTCTAGTCGGTGGAACCGGTGAACCACACGAGCTGGTTAGATGTGTGGGGTAGAGGGCTCGGTCAGAGGCTACTAGATTCGGTGAGGGGTTACTTGGTCGAAGGGGTTACTAGGTCGGTGGGGTTACAATTGTCATGTCATGTGTTAGCTAGCCACACAATGTGGCCAGCCATATACTACACCTTTTGTTGTTATATGACAACAAGCCAAAATATGATGTCATCTAATAAAAATTAGTAAGATAATTTGTTTTAAACATCAACAAATCAAAAATACGTAGCCATTAATTATTAAAAAAACATAAATTGTCGCTTTTAATTAGACAATGAATTTTTTATAGTTGCTATTTAATAACGTTTTAAAAATCTATCATCAAACTTAATTGTTAAAATCTCTTATTTTTGTATTGTTCAACCCTACACTAAGCTGAAGCTTGTTTTTCAGCTTACAATAGTGCGCTTTAGCTCCATTACAATCCTCGTCGATTTGCAGACCTGCAGCTTCTAGTCCTTGTTGCTTTTTCTACTACGAGTAAGTATAACACCCAATACCACAATTTTTTTCTTTCCTTTTTTTTTTCCCTTTCCTCTTCATCTTTTTCCTTCCTTAAACCCTTTTCTCCACCTCCATGGATAGCTCCCATTGCCGGCCAAACCTCCGTCCACCACATCTTCACCTCTGACAACAAGAAGCCCACCCCACCAGCTACTATCTTGGTCGAAATCCAAAAACACGCAACTACCTTCATTAAAAATCACCGAAAACCACCCAAAAAAACATAACCCAAAAACAAGAAACTCAAACTTATGGCTCTAGCCATAAAAAACAGTGAGTTCTATGCTGGAAATCGCTGAATTCGATCGAAATTGATGCCGGTAGTTTTATCGGTGCTCAGTTATTATTAATTTCTATACTGTTACTATTGATTTGTATACTGATCTTCTTGGTTTTTATACTGCTATTCATAATTTATATAGTGTTATTGAGAGGAGAGAGACTGCTTTTTTACAACATAGATAAATTTTACGTGAAATTACATTTTTGCCCCTGGTATGGACCCAACGAGCCCATACCTGGTAGTGGTATATCACTACTCTTTCTACTACTCCCTCCATCTTAAAAGGAGTCTCAAAAAACTGTCTGCCCTGGTACTCTGTTTTTTCATTCTATTTTTGGGTTGTGATTAGAAAAAATGCATCCATATACCAAATTACCAATTCTAGTTTTTGTACTTATTGTTTTGCATTTGAATTGTAATAGCCCTCCACAATTACATCAATAAGTACGTATGTCTAAATGCTTACTCACCTATCATCAATCTCTAATCTCTTACAACAATTTTTTCAAGGTTATCACAAACAACCAGGATAATGATACCACAAGACCGCAAATTAAAAAAGAACGACATAAATAAACTAAATCTCTATAATTTTCTTAATTCTTGAAAAATAATCAAATTATAAAAAACAAGTGCAAATTCAATTCATAAAAATCTAAAAAAATACAAGAAATTCAGAATTTCATATCCTCTGCAACTTATTCGCAACAATCTTAGGATTTTGTTTAGCGATGACAACTTCAGCAGCAACCTTAAAATCGTAAGTACAACTATGCTCTTCTGGAAACCTATGGGACCCACAGAAAGTGGACCCACACTTACACTTAAACCCGACAACTCCGACCTTCTTGTTACAACTCATACACCTATTCGCCGCCTTTGTCGAGCTCTCCGCCGACACAACCACCGCTTCATCGGACTTCTGTTTCGGTTCCTCACTTACTGATTCATGTATCAACAAAGATGTCGATGATAACGATTTCTCAACGGCGGCTCTAACGGTGACGGATTGGTCCTCTTTAAGTCGGTGGTCTCGGTAACACTTTGAACACATGTTCATTGTCGCCGCTGTTCCAAAGAATCCACAACCCTTAGCGCAGTATGTCGGGGTTTCCACTTGGTGGCTGTTCATCATGTTTTCCATCTTTCAATCTCAAGTAGTCGGATTATTTCTTGTTTGTAATAATTGATGAGGTTTGTTTTGAGAAGAGGTTTTGAAGTTTGATAGAAGGATTGATGGGTTTGGTCGTGTGGGTGTGGAAGAGTATTTATAGCAATTTTAGAATTTGGTTGTGTAATGAATTGACGGTTTTAACTTTAGTGGGATGTTTCTAGTTTGCACTACCGAGTTCCAAACCGTGTTCACCGTGTCCGGAATTTGGTAAAGGAAGGCGGTGTACGTTTTGGGATTTTATTTTATTCACTTCCCATAGTTTATGTAATTATTGTTTAATGGAAAAACAATTGGAAAAATTTAAAAGACTAAACTTACCTTTGCTTGACATGCTCAAAATGAGCTAATTAGCTTTGAGTATTGTAGGAATGATTTTACCTTTGGCTACTAATTTTTTAAAACAAGTCTTTTAACCGTTTTTTAAATTAGTAACCAGTTTATAAAGTTAACTTGTCACGTATCACTATTTAATTATTCCTATTTTTGAATAATAAAAAACAAAATAGTTAAAATAAATAAAACAAATTAAAAAAATAGCCCCCTTCTTCCACATCAACGCAGTGCCTGCATGTACGATCACCCCCTCCCCGCCCCCACAACCCCCAGTGCTACCCCCGCCTATACAATTGTCCCTTCCACACCTTGCCTTCCCCTTCCTTTGAAACCCGTCATTATGAGAGAGATATTTTAACATAAAGTATTGCCTTTTTTTTATTTAATTCACCACGTTTTTCTAATTGTAAAGGAGAAAATAGAAATACCTTATGTTTCTCAATGGGGCAAATTCGACATTTTCAATAAATAATAAGTTGTATTTTTTTCGTAGGGTGGGGTTTTCGAGGTGGATACCGCCATTTTGGGGTGGGGATGCTAAGGAAGGCGGCTGGGCGTGTGGTTGTCAATGAAGGTGATTGTATTGTGGTGGTTAGGGTGGGAGAAGAAAGGTTAGAGGAAAAACATTTTATTATTTTTATATAAAAATAACAAAATTAACTTGTTAAACATGTTATAGATTAAAAAGCTTGTTTTGAAGAGTAGGGGGTAAAGATAGGCTGGTTGCCATAATACTCAAAGGTTGGCTCAGTTTGAGCAGGTCGAGCAAAGAAGGAATTATTCTTTTAAAATTTTCCAAAATTATAAATTCTTATGATTATATTTTCTTATGATAATTGTTACTATATATATATATATATATATATATATATATATATATATATATCCTGGTAGGGAACGTGCCCTACCAGATTTTTTTTTCTTAAAAAAAAGTTACTAAAAATATATTTAAAAAAATACAAAGTGTACTATATTATTTAAACTTCTAGTAGCCTAGTGGTTGGAAACTTATAACATAAAGCATTACTTTGTTTAACCAAGGTCAGGGTTCTAATCCCTTACTCAACATTTATTTTGTTTCCCTTTTATTATTATTGTTATTATTATTATTATTATTATTTTATCTTGTTAGTGTCCTTTTTTTTTATCCTCTCCTTATTCTTTCTATGCTTAATGTCCTTTTTTTTTTTCTAAGTGTCCTTATTTTTTTATCCTCTCCTTATTCTTTCTATGCTTAATGTCCTTGTTTTTTTAAATTTTTTTTTGGCTTATTGTCCAATTGTGGTACATAGATGTGTCTTGATTTTTTTTTTGCGGTACGTAGAGGTGTCTATTTTTTTCCCTGGCTTATTGTCCTATTGTAGTACGTAGAAGTGTCTTGAATTTTTTTTTTTGAAAAAAAATTTAAGAGCATGATAAAAGTGTTTTAGTAGTAGGTGCCCTACCATTGTTAAAATCCTAGCTCCGCCACACACACACACACATACACACACACACACACATTACATATCATCACTAATATAAAGTTATCTCGCAGCCAGGCCACAACAGCGACACTTGATATTAGGGGTGAGCAAATCGGGTACCCGGTCAAAATTTTAGGAACCAGACTTGGAATTGGTTGATATCGGGTTCTAAAATCTAGAATTGGAATTAGAACCACTTCAACTGAGTCCTAAAATTTAGGAATTGGTATTGGAACCACCGGGTACCAGTTCCAGTTCCGGGTACCCACGCACTAATGTACACAATTGTTAAATTTTAATTCAATATTTTGATCCATTTTCATTTTTAGCGTTTAATAATTATATTTACATACACATAAAGCTATTTTATCTATGTTTAGTATTATTATAATATTTTTTTAATGTTAATAATTAACTAAATACATTCTAACATAAGTTTGTTCTTTAAATACGTTTAGTTTAATAATTATTAGGTAACTGGGTACCCAGCCGGTTCCGGGTCCAAAATATTGAGAATTGGAATTCACTACTAGAAAACATGCAAATAACGACGGAATTTCCGTCGTAATGGGTCGTCGGAATACATGTTGTAGGAAAACCCGCTTTTCCGACGGAATTCAATCTGTCGGCAGGGATTTTCAGGCCAGAGAAAATCCGTTGAAAAATTCCGACGGAATGTAATCCGCAAGAATTTTTCGACGGAAATTCCGTCGGAAAATTCTTTAAAAAAACAAAAAAAAGCCTCCCACCACCCCACACCACCAGCCCCCCTATCCAGACCCAACCACAACCACACACCACCACCCCACACCACCAGTCCCCCCCATCCAGACCCAACCACAACCACAAACCACCACCCCACACCACCAGTCCCCCCATCCAGACCCAACCACAACCACACACCACCACCGACCCTATCCCACCACCATACACCACAACTGACACCACCACAACAAAAAATTAGCCCAAAAAACCGTAAATTAACCCCAAAAAACAAAAATTTACACGACAAAAGCAAGAAATAACAGACAAAAACTCAAAACCAGTAGATCTACATATTTAATCAAAATTTCATAAAAAAAAACGATGATTAATAAACAAAAATTAAATTAAATATATAAATATACAATTATCTATTTAAATTTACAATCTATCATTACAATTACGTATAAAATTAACTAGATCTACGAATCTATCCTAAATTAAAACAAGATCTACCAAAAAAAGACGGTGGTTGTTGGGTTTGATGTTGATGCCTGGTTGTTGGTGTTGCGCCGCTGTTGCGGTTGATGTTGGTGGTGGTTGAAGGAGCTTCATGTTGCGGTTGGTGTTGTATCGTTGTTGTTGCCGGTGTTTGATGTAGGTAAAGAGAAAAGAAATGAAGGAGAGAGAAAGGGCGGTGAAGAGAAGAAGGAAGGAAAGAGAAGGAGAAGAGAAGAGGGGAGAACGAAGGAGAAGAGGGGAGAACGAAGGAGAAGAGGGAAGGAGAACGAAGGAGGAAGGAGGAATGAGAAAGGGAGAACGAAGGAGGGGAGAGAGAGAAGGAGAGAGCAGAAACATAAGAGAGTGAAAGAGAGGCGGAAATAAGAAAGGGGGAAGGGGCTGCTTTAGTAAGGTTTGGGAAATTTTTTTTAATTATTTTCCGACGGAAAATTCCGTCGGAAATTGTAAATTCCGACAGAAAATTCCGTTGGTATTTTCCGACGGACTATAATTATGTCAGAAATTGTGAATTCCGACGGAATTTTATTTCCGTCGGAAAGCACATATATTCCGACGGATATAAATTCCGTTGGAAATTTCCGACGGATTTTCGACGAAAATATTGAATTCGTCGGAAATTTTCGACGGAATTTATATCCGCCGGAAATCCGTCGGAAATTTCACTTTTTCCGACGGAATTTCGGGTCTGTCGGAACCAGTCCGTCACAATTTGCTTGTTTTCTAGTAGTGATTGGACCCGGTTACAACTGGTTCCTTAATGTATTACCCGGAATTGGAACCACCGGGTCCAATTTTGATTTCGGACCCATCGGTTCCTTACGGGTTCCAATTCCAATATTGGGTACTCGGAATTTCTGCTCACCCCTACTTGATAATACAGTTTTTTGAAAGTGTTGCGCCATGTATGAGATAAATAGGTTTTATTGTGACATATGTGATGCTAAGTAAGCGTCGTTTGGATAGATTTTTTAAGATAAAATTGATGTATAGAGTTGTATTATCGATAGAATTCTATTTCATATATACAAAATTAATCATAACTTTTAATAATTATTATGTAATTCAATTCTATTTCCATGATCAAATTCGTTTTAAAAAGTTCTTTGATATAAGATTCATTTATAATATATTTTAATTGAAAATAGAATTCTACAAAAATAAGTTTTAATCAGAAAAAATAATTTTAGTTTGGTAAAAATACTTTCAGTTCATTAGTTTTAATTTAATTACAATAAAAAATTTCAAGTTAATAATAACATATATATCTTTTTACAAATAAAACTACGTACAAAAATACACTATTATATAAATAAACGATATGATATCAATGTCTAAATATTTTACATTATCAAAAGGAGATATATGATTGTATTTAAAGTTTAGGACAATCTGAACATCGGAGTAACAATCAACTTTTACCAGTTGTATTATATTTATTAATTTACGAATATAATATTTTTTGACCATTTATATATTCATGGGCAGCAGATTGAAATAATATAGAGATTATCATACTGCCAGAACTATTAAAAGTATACCACTGTTCCGTTTTATAATACTCCGTACAATATCTCTTTGGGATTTTACATAGGCAACACATGAATTAAGAAAGTTGTTGATTCCTTAGAATAAAAATAAAAAAAATAAAAAATGATGACAATGAACTCATCAAAAAGAGGGTAATTATGTACAAAAGTACAACATTTAAATAGAAAAGGACATCAAGACGTAGATAGTAGATCTTTCCTCAAAATATCTTAAATCAAAAGAGATTATTTCTTTTTATAAAATATGATTTGTGTCAATGATATGTGTCAAGTGTTGGTAATTGGTACAAGAAGTTTATCCTAAACTTTAATAAACAAAGTGATCACCCAAGTACAAAACTAGTAGGTTCTTATACATGCAAAACATCTATTATATGTAGGGATGGTGATGTGTCTATATTATGTAGTATTTTACCCCCGTCCCTTGGTCGTAATTAGTAGTGTTTTTGGCTCTTTAGAGCCACTTTTATTACTAATTGGTGTTTTCTAGTGTTTTCGTAGATTTGGTTTACTTTCGCAGGGATTTATG